AATAAAATATTTTGTAGTGATTATCTGCATTGAGTATTCAAAAGGGATGTACAAATAATCATCAAAATATATGAAGTTATGGCTGTTCATCATAGAATATGTGAACAAAAAAAAAAACAACAACTTCAAACTTTTAATTTTGTAATGGTATTCATAAAAGCACTTTTGTTTGTAGAGGGTTAATCCTTTCTTTAATCACTAATCAATGTCAGAAATCAGGGTAAATATACCTGATATATTTTAGTTAGAGGAAAATTTTGTTTATCTCATTTCTATTTATGTTCAAATGATTTAATTGAACTGGAACAGAAAATTTAATTTAATGTGTATCAATTACTTTTTTATGTAGTCCTTGGTTGAAGAATTTCTTAAATTTATTATTTTTTATTGTTATTTGGTAATTTCTGAAATTGATTTATTTAATATTTGTTTAATGTGTGTTAAATTTGTTAATTGTCTGAAATAAATTCATTCATTGATTCAATCCAGTTTTTTAGTTATACTTTACCTAAGTGTCCTTACAGATGGTTAAAAGTGTTTTTGCACAGTCCTAACTTTGAGTGTGTAATAAATAATTTTAAATAATAAAAAAGAAAAGGTACTGAAACCTATTCTGGTATTTGTCTATGCATCACTCCATGCTAAGTTACAGTTTTTTCTGAATGGTTAAACACAACCTTGATTCTTATAGCACAATTTCTAAAACTATTAATACTTATAGGAAATCCACTCACTGAGTTCACAAAACTAAAAGAACAAACACTGCTTTGCACTCAATTTGCAATTTTGTAACACACACTTTGCACAACTGTAGGCACAATTCACCGCACAGCACTCTTTGTGGAACTGTAAACACAACTCAATGAAGCACTAAACAGATGCTGAAAACAGTACTGGTATTTCGCACGGCAAAAGTGAGGGGGGGGGGGCGCAAAACTCAATCTCGACTAGGGCAACCAAAGGGCTAGAACCGGCCCTGTATATATATATATATATATATATATATATATGTATATATATGTATATATATATATATGTGTATATATATATATATGTATATATATGTATATATATGTATATATATGTATATATATGTATATATATGTATATATATATATATATATATATATATATATATATATGTATATATATATATGTATATATATGTATATATATGTATATATATATATTTATATGTATGTATATATATGTATGTATATATATGTATGTATATATATGTATGTATATATATGTATGTATATATATGTATGTATATATATGTATATATATGTATGTATATATATATTTATATGTTTGGTATGACTATTATATTTATTGTATGTATATTTATTATATGATATATGTATGTATATATTTGTATGTTATATATTTATTTATGTTTGTTATTTTTGTAGGTATTTATATTATATATTTTTATATAATATATAGGTAATGTGTATTTATTTATTTATGGATATATTTATATATATATAGTTTGTATGGGTTATATTTATAGATATGTATATATTTGTCATGCCTATAGATATTTTTATATGCTATATATATGATTATGTAGGTTGCTTATATAGATATATGTATGTTTTTATATGGTTGTGATTTATTTATTATTTTGAGTTTTTATGGGTATTTTTTATTTATTATATGGTATATTTATGTATGTGTTTTTGATTTATATTTGTTTTATATGTATGGATATATAGGTTTGATATATATATTTATATATTTTTTTATGGATTTGTATGTTTATTTGTAGGTATATACGATTATTTAGATTTTTTATATATTGTTCGTTTATATAGGGTTATGTATATATTTATATATGTATTTTTTAGGATGTATGTTTTGATTTACTTGGTCTGTTAGATGGCTGTTTTTGGATATATATGTATATGTTTGATATATAGTTGTATATTTATATATATGTTTTGGTTTAGGTATGTATTTGTATTGGGGTTTTATTTAGATATGGTTTGTTATGTATGTATAGGAGTTATTGTAGTTTTTATAGTGCGGTTGGGTTTGTTGAGTGTGGTTGTTGCTTACGTTTCTGTGTTCCTTTTTGTGACTTTTTCTTTATATGTATGGATATATATGTATGTATATATAATGTTATGTATTATGTATGTAATATATATATATGTATATATTAATGTATGTATATATCTATAATGTATATATATGTATGTATATATATATATGTATATTATATGTATGTTTATATTATATGTATATATATGTATGTATTTATATATATAGTTGTATATTATGTATGTTATAATATAATATATGTATGTATATATATATATATATATGTATGTATATATATGTATATATATATGTATGTATATATATGTATATATATGTATATGTATATATATGTATGTATATATATATATGTATATGTATATATATGTATATGTATGTATATGTATGTATATATATGTATATGTATGTATATGTATGTATATATATATATATATGTATGTATATATATATATGTATGTATATATATATATATATGTATGTATATGTATGTATATATATATATATATGTATGTATATGTATGTATATATATATATATATGTATGTATATGTATGTATATGTATATATATATATGTATATATATATATATGTATGTATATGTATGTATATGTATATATATATATGTATGTATATGTATATATATATATGTATGTATATATATGTATATATATGTATATATATATATGTATATATATATGTATATATATATATGTATATATATATATATATATATGTATATATATATATGTATATATATATGTATATATATATATGTATATATATATATGTATATATATATATATATATATGTATATATATATATGTATATATATATATGTATATATATATATGTATATATATATATGTATATATATATGTATATATATATGTATATATATATATATGTATATATGTATATATATGTATATATACAGGTGCTGGTCATAAAATTAGAATATCATGAAAAAGTAGATTGATTTCAGTAATTCCATTTAAAAAGTGAAACTTGTATATTATATTCATACATTACATACAAACTCATATATTTCAGATGTTTATTTTGTTTAATTTTGATGATTACAAATGACAACAAATGAAAATCTCAAATTCATCATATCAGAAAATTAGAATATTACTGAAGACCAATAAAAACAAAGGATTTATAGAAATGTTGGCCAACTGAAAAGTATGAACATGAAAAGTATGAGCATGTACAGCACTCAGTATTTAGTTGGGCCTCCTTTGGCCTGTATTACTGCAGCAATGCGGCGTGGCATGGAGTCGATCAGTCTGTGGCACTGCTCAGGTGTTATGATAGCCCAGATTGCTCTAATAGTGGCTTTTAGCTCTTCTGAATTGTTGGGTCTGGTGTATTGCATCTTCTTCTTCACAATACCCCATAGATTTTCTATGGGGTTAAGGTCAGGAGAGTTTGCTGGCCAATTAAGAACAGGGATACCATGGTCCTTCAACCAGGTACTGGTAGCTTTGGCACTGTGTGCAGGTGCCAAGTCCTGTTGGAAAATGAAATCTGCATCTCCAAAAAGTTGGTCAGCTGCAGGAAGCATGAAGTGCTCTAAAACTTCCTGGTATGTGGCTGCGTTGACCCTGGACCTCAGAAAACACAATGGACCAACACCAGCAGATGACATGGCACCCCAAACCATCACTGACTGTGGAAACTTTACACTGGACTTCAAGCAACGTGGATGAAGTGCCTCTCTTCTTTTCCTCCAGACTCTGGGACCTTGATTTCCAAAGGAAATACAAAATTTACTTTCATCAGAGAACATGACTTTGGACCACTCACCAGCAGTCCAGTCCTGTTTCTCTTTAGCCCAGGCAAGACGCTTCTGACGCTGTCTGTGGTTCAAGAGTGGCTTGACACAAGGAATGCGACAGCAGAAACCCATGTCTTTCATACGTCTGTGTGTGGTGGTTCTTGAAGCACTCACTCCAGCTGCAGTCCACTCTTTGTGAATCTCCCCCACATTTTTGAAAGGGTTTTGTTTCACAATCCTCTCCAGGGTGCGGTTATCTCTCTTGCTTGTACACTTTTTTCGACCACATCTTTTCCTTCCCTTCGCCTCTCTATTAATGTGCTTGGACACTGAGCTCTGTGAACAGCCAGCCTCTTTAGCGATGACCTTTTGTGTCTTGCCCTCCTTGTGCAAGGTGTCGATGGTCGTCTTTTGGACAACTGTCAAGTCAGCAGTCTTCCCCATGATTGTGTAGCCTATAGAACTAGACTGAAAGACCATTTAAAGGCTTTTGCAGGTGGTTTGAGTTAATTAGCTGATTAGAGTGTGGCACCAGGGGCCATCAATTTTGAACCTTTTCACAATATTCTAATTTTCTGATATGATGAATTTGAGATTTTCATTTGTTGTCATTTGTAATCATCAAAATTAAACAAAATAAACATCTGAAATATATGAGTTTGTATGTAATGTATGAATATAATATACAAGTTTCACTTTTTAAATGGAATTACTGAAATCAATCTACTTTTTCATGATATTCTAATTTTATGACCAGCACCTGTATATATATATATATATTGGCCCTTCTAATATTGCTGACTGTGCAGCATTTCTAACTTTCATTTCTTAAATTCTAGTTTCCTGCTTAGTCAACTGAAGCTTGTAAACAAAGTGGTAGAAAAATGTCTAGTTTTATATTATAATGATGTCTGAGACATACTTTTTAAACTTTTTGATATAGTTATATTGTTCTCGAGTGCTATTTTTAAAATAGATTTGAATTCAGACATCTCCTTTAATCCCTGATTTAAAATGTTTTGAGGGTCATGATGTGCGCTGATGCTACTTCTTTTGAATTGATTTAAGATGGCTAGATGTTACACAAGTTAAACATCTCCCATCATTGATTACTTTTAAATGTTCTCAAGCTCTGTGTTTTATGACGTGATAGATTTTGGAACGGCAAAAGATTTGAGGACGAGCACTGTCTGCACGGAGAGTGGGAGTATTCCAGGTGCCGTATACGAGTGTGAATCAGTTCTCTGTAGCTAACTGGTGGTGGGGAAAATCTCCTGGTTTCTCACTCTTCTTTTGGTGAAGGAGAAATGTCTGCATCTTTAACAGAAGTCTGTTAAATGACCGCTTTTAAATAAGTTTTAACCCCCCTTAGCATTAAGCTTTTGGTGTTCTACTGCAGTCTGGCTGCTGCTGCTTAAATACCTCAGCATAGTGCAGTAATCCTTCAGTCAAGGCTGCTCTTTGTGCTTTGAAAAAACCCCTGAAAAAAAAAGTGTGTTCCTGTTTTCTCTCTAACCTCAACTGAGTGCCCCCTTACATAACAAAAAAGTAAATAAAATAAAAAAAGAAGTTTGGAATAAATTGCACACTGTCTCTAACAAAATTCAGCTTAATGTCTATGTCATGTTTTTTTCCTTCCTTGATATTTTAGTTTATGCTAGAGGGCATAAACTAAACTGCTTGCAAGGAATATTTGATGGATTAAAGGGAGAGGAGTGGATGTTTCAGGATTAGGATTAAAGGGTGTAATAAAGTCTTTAGAGGTTTCCCTTGCACTCTGTGCATACTGAACAATTTTTTTTCTTTTTATCCTGGGAAATGTGAAGTATGCTGTGCCGTACTTTATTTCTAGGGGCAGTTTACTGTTTCAAGTTCTTCCCAAATCCTTTCAGCTTCACTTCCTTGCATCATTTGCATCACTATGTTGTTTGCATGCCCCCCGGTGTCCTTTCAGCCTCCCCCTAAAATCCTCAGTGTGTGTATGTGTCTGGCTGAGACAAGAAACAGCCCTAAAAGACGGCCCGGATACTTGGCCTCTTCTATTGAATCGGCTGAGGTGGAAAGAATGAAAAGAATCGCTTACCCAGAGAGGACATTTCCTCTGTGTGACAGTCTTGGAAGGGTTTAAGGATAACCACACACACTAGTTGGACTGTCTACTGTGGGGGATATAATGTATTAGCATATCCATGACAGGTTACATGTCTCAGACTTGGCCTCCATCCAGCTGGATTACAGCGAGTTTAGAATAAAAGGCTGCTTAAAAATCAGCCTGCACGGGTTTAATAACTTACAGCTGATGCAAAACATTATACAAAAATCCATAGGCAGCTAGAAAAACTAGAAATATGCATGCATTGTGTATTTATATTCTTAAAGTTTGACGTTTTTGAAGCCACTTTATCTCGCAAAGAGTAAAAGCAGATAACATTATCTGCATTATCTGGTGGTTTGCTTAGTTTGACTACAAACCACATACAATATGACATATATATATCTTTCTGAACTTATGATAATTTTTGTAAGACTAGATAAAAGTAACCATGTGTAATTTAACTTTAAGGGGAAGGGGAAACATATGAGAATAAAAAAAAATGTATCTTTTTAGAAACTGAAACATAAGTTTCTTAAGAAAAACAAACGTCATATTTTATAAATTGAGTGCATACTGTAATGTTTTAGCTTTTATTGTGATGATTAGGTCTACAGCTAATGAAAGTTTTAGAAATAGAATCTTACAGTTAAATGAAAAATAAAGGAGTCATTGATAATAATCCCCTGGTCCTGGTGAAATAAACTGTTCACAGGAGGCTGTATCCAAGCATATTAATAGAAAGTTGAGTGGAAGGAGGAAATATTGGTAAAAAAAAAAAAAGTTGACTTGCAACTGACTAAAATAAAAAAAGATTATGAGGCAAATAGATTTAATTGTTTGGGGGGGGGGTGTTCACACAGTGGAAACTGAGGCTTGAGTATGAGCTTTAAAGGCTGGTTTATACTCAGAAACCAGGTCGTCTGCGTGTGTGTTGCAGTTAACGTAGATATGCCTCCACCCCTTCTGCAGACACTCTGCTGCACTTCTCTAAAATTCTAGGTGACCACAGACAGCGCCGCAGGCAGGAGGCCTCTGATTGGTCAAATCTACATCCGCTCTACAGTATGCGCATTTCCTGTTTGGTACCTTGCCGGCTTGTTTTGTTTTTATGACCGCTATTGTGGAAAACGACTCGTGAAAATGGACTAGCTAGAAGAGCGAGGTGTGCGAAAACGCTGGGACCCTTTTTCCACCTGGATCCCCGCTCTTTTTCACCCTCATGTCCCTCCGCCATCACACAAACTTGCCCCTTGCATTTTTCCACTTCCTCACCGCCTCGGCCGTATCTAGACCCACCGCTAGTTCGTGATTGTCCCTCTAGCGTTGTGGCGTGGAATAACATAGCGCAGACCACGCTTCAAAATTGGGCATAAATCAAAAATGTCTGCGTCACACCTGCAACACACTGCTGCTGTAGTATAACCAGCCCTTAAGAGCCACAAAAACAAACAGATTCAGGATCTGAGTTACATCCATTATATACCTTGTGTTAAACCACTTCTGAACCAAAGATGATGCCTGAAGCTTCAGGGTCAGTGATCCAAAATCCTTTTTTCAGGTGAAGAGTAAATTTGGTACGACTTTCAAACCCCAAACTCTTCCAAAGGTAACAAAACCTTCTGGATTTGATAGAAAATGGGTTTTTACCTTTAGCCCTACAGAGCAACTATGGAGTGTCATAGTGGTCTTTTTTATGGTTTGTTAACCATCCCCTTTGTATACAACTAACATTGATGCTTAAGACAATAATGACCTAAATATGTTAATATGGTAAAGAAGTGTGTATATAAGCTCTAATACTTGGTCTGTGCTGGAGAAACACTTCCTGTAATGTGTAATTTGTTGCTTTTGTTTAGAAACAGACCCCTCTCTCTTTGGAGCAATGGTGACTGGGAGATATTCTGCAAAAGTTAAAATATTACTTGGTTCTGGGGTTAATAATTTATATATTTTTTCCCATCAAGCAAATATTAACTGGACGTAAGCTGCAATCAATGCCTGTGTTGTACTTACACTGTGTAATTTCTATGTTGGTTTGTCTTTAACTTGGTAAAGGGTTAAACATCGATGCTGGTCTGTCGCTTGGGGCAACAGGGTTGAGGAATTCAGCACTTCAGTGTGTTTGAACAGAGGTATCTCTTGTAATTATTTCTGATTAGTTTAAAAACATCTATTATCCCATTTTTGTCTTGTGTAACAGAGTCGGTGTGGATCCAGATCAAGACGTCCAGCCCTCTGGAGATAGCTTCCAAGTCCTCCAGGGGGTAAGAAACTCACTCAGATTCATTTTGGACTCTATGAAACGGTTCCAGTTTTTCTTTAATTTTGTTCAAAGTTAGCAAACCTGAGCACTAGGAAATTATGCATCATTAAAACAAAGTGAGCATTGCTGAAAAGTGTCCAACAATGGGTTTGCTTTTAAATCTGGCGTTTGAAATACAAACTGAAAAGCATTTTCTAATTGCAAATTTTGAATTGAATTATTAAAGGAAAATTGTAATTGTATTTATTAATCCCTTATTAAATATAGGTGTTTTCAAATCTTGTTTCTAAATGGAAATTTAAAAGCCAAAATTTATAAATGTAATTATAAATAAATTTCCTAATCACACATTTAAGAGGGTTCCATAAAAGTAAAAAAAAAAAAACAATCCACTGGACTTTGTTTCCAAGATTTGAAGACGTTTCGCCTCCCCTCCAAGAAGCTTTCTCAATTCAAATTGTTTAAGAGGGTTATTCCATTTTCTCTTTTTGACTTCCATTTTCAAATCCTTTTTGAAATTGCATTTTATTTTTACTTTACTCTCTCCATTTACCTTTTCTGTGACCCTTCTGGTCCCTAAGCGCACTGGAAACCAGTTTGACCAATCACAGTTGCTCCTCAGATATAACGAGCTCCCTCATTGGTCATTTTCTCAAGCGTGGCATTCTGACCAATGAGAGAGTTTAACTGCTTTCCAGTGTGCTCAGGGACCAGAAGGGTCACAGAAAAGGTAAATGAAGTTACATCAATGGGCCGGATTTATCAAGATCCAATTTTGCGTGCAGTAATTTGCGCTCGCAAACTGGAATTTTGCGCGAGGGGCTGAACCATGGTTTGCGGGTGATTTAACAAGAGCGATTGCGTAACTGGTGGCAGGCGCAAAACTGTTGGAGACGCCCTATTTAAATGATGGTTTTGCGCGTTTTGTGGTTTGCGGCAAAGTAGTTTTTAGTTTCTACAAACTAGTGCATTAAGAAATTTAAATCTTACAGTGATATATAAAGAAAAAACTTTGGCAACCTTTATTCCCTAAGGTGGTATGTGGATGAATTTCTACTTCACTGCAGTAAAAAAAACAACAACAACAAAAAAACAGGTGTTTTGTATTGGCCTGTAGAAAAATGCACATACCAAATGGCTCACAAGAAGTGACTGTGGATGAGATTACGCATCCCCGCAGCATTGGCATGTTGCTCCACAGGCGCAGGGGGAGAACCCCGACCCCGTCAGACAGCACTTCTGAAAAACGAGATTGGGAGATCCCAGCTCTCGCTGCAACCGTACGCTGGAATGACCCAGATGCAAAAAAGTGCAACGTTGCAAGGAGTTTTGTGATATCTGGTAGGTATTGCGTGGGTCCTCCTTGTGGCTGGCTCCAAATCCATTCGGAGTTCCCCCAACAGCTCCAAAATGGCAATGCTGGATAAACGATATGTTTTGATGATCGTTTCCTCGTTTATTCCATATATATTCACACGGAGTGAAAAACTGCGTTCTCTGCGTCTCCTGCTTCATTTCGATGTCTCCTTCTTGCGACAATAACCGCTGCCATGTGTGCGCAATTACGCATACAGACCATTTGCACCTTCTTTTGAAACGTGTTAAATATAGAGTCAGATACCGTTAGCAAAATTGTTTTTAGGTTTGATAAATCACTTTGCGAGTGCTAAATTAATATATTTACATGTACTCCTCCCACAAGACGCACTTTTGCGTGTAAACGCCCCATATCGCATATTCATTGCAGAAAAGGTACTAAATGGATAAGAGGTGCTATTTAGCACGTTTTAAAGACCAAATCCTTTTAGCACGCTGTTGATAGATCAGTTTGTAAATTTTTTAGCGTGCGCAGTGAAATAGCTCACGTTTTTATACACGCAAACCTTTGATAGATCCGGCCCAATGTGTATTTATTCATGTAGAAATCATTACTTAATTGGTCGAGGGGCAGAAAAGAATAAAGAAGGACCAGTGTAAAATTCTCTGAGACAAACTTATCTTTGAGGAAACATCTGTTAGTGAAAATGTGCACTGGTTTTTGGAATGGAAAACCTTCTAGACAGATAACCTTATTTTCTCTCTTACGTCTCTCAAAATGAAAGTCGAGTCTGACCCAAATCTTTGCATAGGTCTGAGCATGGCCTGAACTCCTTCCCTGTGACTGTTGCATCTGCAGAGCTATTCCAAATTTAAATGATCAGATTATCAGGCTATCAGATCTCTTACACTGTTATCAGGGACTTTGCAAAAACTAAAGTAGGGAAGTACATGTTTAGAATTGTAGTATTGAGGAAGAGCAGAGTAACTTAAAAAGGTCAAATATGTGGGTAAAGCTAGTTTGTTTTCAAATGGAGCTTTTGCATATTGTTGCATATTTTACATAGTTTTACACGCAAATCATTCAGCCTTAAACTCCTTTTTCTACCTGGTTTCATGTAACTTTCTAAATTGGGAAAACAAAAGAGTAGAAATTTCTTATATTAAGTGTATTTATCCTTAATTTGAGTAGTTAAATTAGATATTTTGCCAATGGAATTAGTATTTTTACTCTTAAAATAAGATAATTAGATAATATGTACTTGAAATAAGACATTACAATTGTCTTTTCTTATTTAAAGTGTAAATTGTCTTGTTCCATTGGCAAAATGTCTCTTTTACCTCCTCAATCCAAGAACAAATGCACTTTTTTTAAGAAAAAAAAACTTATCTAGATTTTTATTTATTGTTTCCAGTGTACTTCCATTTCAGGTAATGTTTTTCTTAAGAGCATGAGTAATATTTTATTGTTCGATTAATATACACTATATTGCCAAAAGTATTTGCTCACCCATCCAAATTATTGGAATCAGGTGTTCCAATCACTTCCATGGCCACAGGTGTATAAATTCAAGCACCTAGGCATGCAGACTGTTTTTACAAACATTTGTGAAAGAATGGGTCGCTCTCAGGAGCTCAGTGAATTCCAGCGTGGAACTGTGATAGGATGCCACCTGTGCAACAAATCCAGTCGTGAAATTTCCTCGCTCCTAAATATTCCACAGTCAACTGTCAGCTGTATTATTAGAAAATGGAAGTGTTTGGGAACGACAGCAACTCAGCCACGAAGTGGTAGGCCACGTAAACTGACGGAGCGGGGTCAGCGGATGCTGAAGCGCATAGTGCGAAGAGGTCGCCAACTTTCTGCAGAGTCAATCACTACAGACCTCCAAACTTCATGTGGCCTTCAGATTAGCTCAAGAACAGTGCGCAGAGAGCTTCATGGAATGGGTTTCCATGGTCGAGCAGCTGCATCCAAGCCATACATCACCAAGTGCAATGCAAAGCGTCGGATGCGGTGGTGTAAAGCACGCCGCCACTGGACTCTAGAGCAGTGGAGACGCGTTCTCTGGAGTGACGAATCGCGCTTCTCCATCTGGCAATCTGATGGACGGGTCTGGGTTTGGCGGTTGCCAGGAGAACGGTACTTGTCTGACTGCATTGTGCCAAGTGTAAAGTTTGGTGGAGGGGGGATTATGGTGTGAGGTTGTTTTTCAGGAGCTGGGCTTGGCCCCTTAGTTCCAGTGAAAGGAACTCTGAATGCTTCAGCATACCAAGACATTTTGGACAATTCCATGCTCCCAACTTTGTGGGAACAGTTTGGAGCTGGCCCCTTCCTCTTCCAACATGACTGTGCACCAGTGCACAAAGCAAGGTCCATAAAGACATGGATGACAGAGTCTGGTGTGGATGAACTTGACTGGCCTGCACAGAGTCCTGACCTCAACCCGATAGAACACCTTTGGGATGAATTAGAGCGGAGACTGAGAGCCAGGCCTTCTCGTCCAACATCAGTGTGCGACCTCACAAATGCGCTTCTGGAAGAATGGTCAAAAATTCCCATAAACACACTCCTAAACCTTGTGGACAGCCTTCCCAGAAGAGTTGAAGCTGTTCTAGCTGCAAAGGGTGGACCGACGTCATATTGAACCCTATGGATTAGGAACGGGATGTCACTTAAGCTCATATGTGAGTCAAGGCAGGTGAGCAAATACTTTTGGCAATATAGTGTATGTTTGAGTGTGTAACATTATTATTTTTTATTTAACAGAGTTTGTTTTATTTGTTGTTCTTGTAATAGAGGTTATTTACTGTATGTACCTTTCTGATGCAGTTGAAACCAAAACATATAAACCACGTGAAAATTAACCTGTAAAAAAATGCATTCTAGTTTGTTTTATTCGTTTTAGTAGCACTAGATGATGCATACAAATGGGAGACTGTTTACAGCACAGCCAGAGCTGCAACAAGTTTATTGTACATGTGTGAATGATCTGATCATTGCAGCAATAGATATTATTGACTGAAATAGATGGGCTCAAAATCAAATTTTGCTTGGGGCCCCATGGAAGATTGGACTGGCCCTGATATCTGAGACGCCGTCTCTTCTTGGTAAATCTATCATTCTTGCAGTTTCCTTCCTGCAGGAGCTCAAACAGGAAGGTTAAAGTGACTATTCTTATTTACGGTCACAGGTTACTCAAACAGAAGAATATTTTTATTTTGGATCCCATGTTTCTGGCACGGCCGGAAAGATCAAAGACGTACACATGATTGTTTTCTTCCCGATGCTACCGAATAAAAGAGAAAGGGAACTGCTCTGCAGCAGAGTTTAGTAGCTCTGTCACGTCCCAACTGTGAAGCTTCCCCTTCCTGGAAGCTGTCATGGAAAAAGGTTAAAAATATGAATCCTGAGATTTGGTCTTTACAGTGTCTTTTGTTCTTTGTGTGTAGTTCAGTCCTTGCGCTCCTCCCATGGCTGGACCTAACTAAAGAAAATATTAGAATGGGTGTGGTAGATGTGTTTTCATATATGCTTTTAGGACTTGTCCACCTGTTCTATTGACGGTTGTCCAGCCTGTCAGGGTATTGACTCAAAGGGTGATACAGTTAAATGTATAACATTTTGCAATTTCAGTCATTAGATCAACCATTATGATCTTATATATCAAATATAAGCAGACATATGTGTCATAGAGAGGGAATAACAGGTCCACTAATGGGTGGGACAATTTAGGCAGGATGTAAATATTCTGGTGAAGATTCTCCGTCATCCAGGTCATAGTCATTCCAAAAAAGTAAAAAAAAATAAAAATAAAAATCCACTGGACTTTGTTTCCAAGTTTGAAGGCGTTTTGCTTCCAGGAAGCTTTTTCAATTCAAAATGTCAGAAATAGTGTTGAGTTCAAGGCTTTATATAGTTGACCAAAGCAAAGCCTTGTTTTGGCTTAGAAACATGCAACATGCAGTAGGTAAACAAGTTCTTTTCAAACATGATATGATATATATAAAAATAGATTTAAAAAAAAATTGGCAAGTCTAAAGATTTCCGTATCGGGGGCCAGATCGTGATGTCCATATGAGCAAAACTATACGTGTGGGATGTCTTTGTGCTGCAGTGGTGAGAATCATTTTAAAATTGGTCATGCTGAGCCCAAAGCTCCTTTATGGAGAAATTGTTTATTAGAAGAAGCATCAACTTCAGAATCTCTGTTGGATCAAAGTGTCCCAAAATGCAGGGCATACTAAGTTACTGCTGTACAGCTAGAGATCATTCAGGGGACCCATGGTGACTCCTATCCACGTCTAAAAGCACTATCAAGGGTTACATGAACATTAGAACTGGAGGCTGGATCAGCCTGTTATTTTAAACTTATGTTGCACACATGGTTGTTTGCATGTCTCTTAACTAGGCTGCCAGACACCATGATGAACTATTGGAAGAAGGCAAACCTGCAGAGATGATGATGTCATTTTTTTGGTAATATTCTGCTGAGAATCAACAGATTGTTTCACCTGTGTGGAGGTGAACTTTTCCATGCATACAACCTACTGTAATTTAATTCAGTTTATTTCTATAGCGCCAATTCACAACACATGTCATCTCAAGGCACTTTACAGTTCACCAGATCATACAGTCAAATTTAATTAAAGTTTTCGATCTAAGGAAAACCAGTTGATTGCATCGACTCATTGACTCGAATGCAATCCTGTAACAACAGTGGAGAGGAAAAACTCCCTTCTAACAGGAAGAAACCTCCAGCAGAACCAGGCTCGGTGTGAGCGGCCATCTGCTGAGGCCGACTGGGGTTCAAGGAGAAAGAAGCAGAGATACAAAAAGTAACTGTAAAAGGCGGCCCGGTCCTGGAAACACACAGCCAGGCAGACGAGCTCCGAGCCAGCTCCCATGTCAGTGGATGAATACAGGTGCTGGTCATAAAATTAGAATATCATGAAAAAGTAGATTGATTTCAGTAATTCCATTTAAAAAGTGAAACTTGTATATTATATTCATACATTACATACAAACTCATATATTTCAGATGTTTATTTTGTTTAATTTTGATGATTACAAATGACAACAAATGAAAATCTCAAATTCATCATATCAGAAAATTAGAATATTGTGAAAAGGTTCAAAATTGATGGCCCCTGGTGCCACACTCTAATCAGCTAATTAACTCAAACCACCTGCAAAAGCCTTTAAATGGTCTTTCAGTCTAGTTCTATAGGCTACACAATCATGGGGAAGACTGCTGACTTGACAGTTGTCCAAAAGACGACCATCGACACCTTGCACAAGGAGGGCAAGACACAAAAGGTCATCGCTAAAGAGGCTGGCTGTTCACAGAGCTCAGTGTCCAAGCACATTAATAGAGAGGCGAAGGGAAGGAAAAGATGTGGTCGAAAAAAGTGTACAAGCAAGAGAGATAACCGCACCCTGGAGAGGATTGTGAAACAAAACCCATTCAAAAATGTGGGGGAGATTCACAAAGAGTGGACTGCAGCTGGAGTGAGTGCTTCAAGAACCACCACACACAGACGTATGAAAGACATGGGTTTCTGCTGTCGCATTCCTTGTGTCAAGCCACTCTTGAACCACAGACGGCGTCAGAAGCGTCTTGCCTGGGCTAAAGAGAAACAGGACTGGACTGCTGGTGAGTGGTCCAAAGTCATGTTCTCTGATGAAAGTAAATTTTGCATTTCCTTTGGAAATCAAGGTCCCAGAGTCTGGAGGAAAAGAAGAGAGGCACTTCATCCACGTTGCTTGAAGTCCAGTGTAAAGTTTCCACAGTCAGTGATGGTTTGGGGTGCCATGTCATCTGCTGGTGTTGGTCCATTGTGTTTTCTGAGGTCCAGGGTCAACGCAGCCACATACCAGGAAGTTTTAGAGCACTTCATGCTTCCTGCAGCTGACCAACTTTTTGGAGATGCAGATTTCATTTTCCAACAGGACTTGGCACCTGCACACAGTGCCAAAGCTACCAGTACCTGGTTGAAGGACCATGGTATCCCTGTTCTTAATTGGCCAGCAAACTCTCCTGACCTTAACCCCATAGAAAATCTATGGGGTATTGTGAAGAAGAAGATGCAATACACCAGACCCAACAATTCAGAAGAGCTAAAAGCCACTATTAGAGCAACCTGGGCTATCATAACACCTGAGCAGTGCCACAGACTGATCGACTCCATGCCACGCCGCATTGCTGCAGTAATACAGGCCAAAGGAGGCCCAACTAAATACTGAGTGCTGTACATGCTCATACTTTTCATGTTCATACTTTTCAGTTGGCCAACATTTCTATAAATCCTTTGTTTTTATTGGTCTTCAGTAATATTCTAATTTTCTGATATGATGAATTTGAGATTTTCATTTGTTGTCATTTGTAATCATCAAAATTAAACAAAATAAACATCTGAAATATATGAGTTTGTATGTAATGTATGAATATAATATACAAGTTTCACTTTTTAAATGGAATTACTGAAATCAATCTACTTTTTCATGATATTCTAATTTTATGACCAGCACCTGTAGAGCACATTCAGCCAGTCACAGTCAGAGAAACAGGACTACACTGTAAAACAGGCTGATCTCCAACATCTATAAACAAAGGTGTTGATGTCAGCAGCACAGCTGATATTTCTCTCTAGGATTGTGTCACGGCCAAAAAGAAACAGATGAGGCGAAGCTACTATGAGAAAAAGCAGAGGGAGCATATCCGTGACTTTAAATACCACATAGTTCACCCCAGAAAGCTATGACCTCTTTAAGCAGAATATTACTTTTTTTTCCCCAAAGAAACATGTTTAGCATTCGTTTGAGGGTCAAAGAAGCAAAATAGAGGCGTTAACATTAGGGGTAAAACAATTAATCAGATTAGTCATGATTAATCGATTATTGAAATAATCTTCAATTAATCTAGTAATTGATTAATCGCTAACTGGAGTATAGAGATTCTAAAACATGCCTTTAGCTGACAGAGCAACAAACTAAGAGCAGTAATTACACCCAAATTGTAAAAAAAAATATATTAACATTTTACATTCAAGATAAAGAAATCTTGTTCGTCCCTTGGCACTGCAATTTGTGTATTTTCTCTAAATTTTCGGTTTCCTACGCAGAGATTTATTGTTGGTTGTTATGGTAGGAATTTTTTCTACACATTTTTTCCATCATAAATATCTGATGCTTGCTGCGTGTCATTGAAACAGGTCAAAAGGCCTGAGTAGATTAAACTGATTTGCATCCGATCAGTTAGTGTTGCAAGCAGAAAACTGCTGCTGTTGTCCGACTGCAGCTAATTGACTCAAAGTGTAATTATGCTTTCAACCATGTGCTTCCCCAGGATGGCCCCCAGGAAGACGGCCAAAGTAAAACCAAACAGGAGAGTGCTTGGCTCTTCAGGCTCTGGTATACGTTCGATCACAAGTATCCTTTTTTGTGTTCTGCCACGGTGTGAATCCTTTGTGATTCAATCACAAGGTAAAAATATCTGTATGATCTATTGGCAAACCCCACAGCCTGTCAGGATGATCGTCCGGTCCTCATTTTCTATGTGAACCGGTTTATCCTGGATTCAATGAATCAACGCCATTTTATGAAATGTTTGTTCTTCGCTCCCGGTCGCCTCCAACAACAAGCTCGAGGTAATGCGTTTATTTACTCATCTTCCCATTTCCTCCACCCTTCCCATCCCTGTAAAACAATTGTCTCCCCAGGTGGTTGATTGTGTTCCTGCCTTTTAGCAGGGAGGCTGTTGTTTATAACAAGGGAAAGAATAATCTCCTGGTGTTGCATGCATTTTTGAGGCCAAAGTAAAGGTGGATTTGGCTCATTTTGCAGCTCTGACCCACTTATCTGACACACCATGTTGTTGCTCCTCTGCAACTGACCACTGGACTAAATAGAAGAGAATGATGCATGGGACCAGCTGCTTCCAGTGTCCATAATCACAGGAAGATTCAAACGCAGTACTTGGCTTCCCCAGCAGGGGTGGAGCTAGATGGAGGGGGTTCAGGGGTGGCCATGGCCAGCCTTAGCCAATCATTGGCCACCCCTACTATTTTTTCCCTCTAATATAGATGGTAGCAGCAGTGATACTCTCAAGTGGAAGAGTCTTCAGTAAAATTGATAAGTAATATAGATAATTATTACTTACTATAGATAATATTGTAATAAACATATTCAATAATCAATGTATGTAGATATTGGTACTTGTAAATATGAATTTTATGCAGAATGATTATTGATAAAAGTAGGTAAGTAACGACAATGGAAAATATGCTGTCCCCAGAACTCAAACCTTAAAGAATTGTATCCACTATACCTTTTATCTAGAAAGCACAGATGTGTAAATATTTATTAATCTATTTGTTAGCAATGGTTGTAGGAAAGTATAGTTTGTCTTTATTTAGAAAATATGGATGATGTGCCCATTAATTTTCCTGTTGTAGATTGAACCTGAGGTTCTGGCACCTATCAACTTTCGGCCTCCCCTCAGTTTACATTGGTTATACCCTGGCCACCCTTATAAAACTTTTCTGGCTACGCCTCTGTTCCCCAGAGGCCAACTTGACTGGTTATAAGCAAAAGGCTGAAAAAATGTCAGATTCCTTCTTTCGTACTTCTTCAAAATCACAATGATATAATTTTTTTGTGAAAATAAACAAGGTAAAATATAAACATAAAAAACTACCAGGACATACACTGTGAAATATTTGTAATTTTTACATTTCCAACTGTTTCAGTTGACTTTTACATTTTCCATAAATCTTGTTTTTTTCCAGTTTAGATTGAAGCTTTATTGATGTTTTCATGATGTTTGTGTGTATTTGTAAAAATTGCTTGTAAATGTTGTGTTTCATTCTCCTTAATAATTTCCCAGTTACCTTAAGCCCATTTTGACACACAGCGGCCCACCTCTTACCTCCACTCTGCCCAGCTACTGTGGGCCACTGGCCAGCTGCCTGACCAGTCCTCGTGCATATGAAGTAAGTATTTAAAATATATAGTTATGTTTTTATTGTGATAAAAGATCTATGCTCCAAAACAAAATTATTTCATAAAAATTTGGACATTTGTTCCACATTTATACTTAAAGAGGCCCTATTTAGCTATTTTGTTCCTATACTAATATGCGAATGAAAATCCAATTTGCAGATCATCTTCACTGTAAGGCTGGCAAATGCTTTTGCTTATTATTTTAGAAATGGATACCATATTTGACATGGTTGTAACTTCCCAAAAGTTTTGTTGTTGTGAGTCATAAAATTAAAATGGGGAATGTTGATTACGCCTGACATAAATAAACGATTTCTCTCTCTTGCTAATGCTTCTTACACCAGTATAATAAAATGAATGTTTGCTTAAAGTAAACGGGAAGCAACAGTAACACTCGGTGATAAACACACTCCAGTCTGTGACTGATTTAAGGAAGGATAGCTTTAGCACAGTCAGAAGTTTCAGTGCCAAAAGTGGCTGTGGATGTCATTTGTGTGCATAAAGTTTCCTGGGTACATTTTACCTCTATTTTTATTCTTAGTGTCATCTGTCATGATATAATTTCTTAAAGCCACAGATTAACTTGTCAAATCAATATCTTCTCTCCAAATGGTGTTCCTTAAAATATAAATAGACCTCCTTACCTTGAATTTGCTTCAGGTAACTAAACTTAGGATCATCCTGGGTTTTAATTGCCTTGAATCCTTTGTTTCTATATTTTTATTGGAAATTAATAAAAAGGGAAACTAAATAAACTGGTGTTTTTGTTTGAAGTTGTACATAAAATGCTTCCCAATTTAAGATCTGAGTCTTAAAGAGTCTAGACTTCCTCTTTTTTGAAAATGTTGAAGATTTCCCTTTTGTGTTTTCAAAAGAATAAAATAAATGTAGAATGATTCTAAAACTGTGTTTTAAATAATCTTCATTGTAGAAGCATCAATTTTTAAGTTTAATATTTGAGTTTGTGGCAGTTGAAAGACATGAAACCAATACTCACATTAGCACAACTTTAACGGAACAAAAAGATAATTTATAATCTAGTTCCATCCTTACTTCAAACTAGGAGTGCAAGGCAGTATTGAGATGGTATAGAACCCCTAAGAAATTAATAAATTCACTACAGGAGTAATCTTCCTGTACAATCACATCTAAATGATCTAACGAATAAAATCATTTGGGATAAAGAGCTGCTTTTAATTATTTTATTTTTTATATCTAAATGGTTGAAAATGTATGCTCCTTCAAGCTGAAGATGACCGGACAAGAAAATCCTTATGCCTCTTGGAAAAAATAAAAATAAAAAAGAAATAACTTGGATGTTTGAAGGTGTCTGCATGTTATTTTTCACACTTTCGACAAAAAGAATGAAATCTCCCTTCCCTTAGTTAAAGTGAACAGTTACATGACTAAATCTAACAACTAGTGGCAAAAAAAAAGCTTTCTAATAACTAACAATGAGCCTTTTGCATCACTTTTGCTTGACTTCTCTGTAAATATTACACAAGCTCCTTTGGAGGTATTTTGATATTTCACTTTCGGATTTTCAGCCATAAGCAGAAGTATTGAGTTGTCGGTCTGCTGGTGACGTTTCTCAGTCGTCCAGGTCATAGTGATTCCAAAATAATTAAAACAAGCAAACCCCTGATCTTGGTTTCCAAGTTTTAAGAAGTTTCTCCTCCCATCCGGGAAGCTTTTTCAATTAGGGTTGAGTTCGAAGCTTTATATAGCAGCCCAAAAACTTGTTTTGGTTTAGAAAACATGCAAATTGAACCAGAAAAAAACAGGTCCGCCCCTCAGGAATCATTAGGGAGTCATTTTGGGTTCTTTGTTTGCCGGCAATACCCAATACTGGTCTGTGCCTCTGAAAGGAGGGGTCACTAGGGGACATTGTTGGCTTGGCTGTCCAGGAGAGATGTTTAGTACCCTTGCATGGGGGTGGAGAGTTGAAATGATAGCAGGAAGGAATCAGCTCTATTGCTGCATATTGAGTTGTCTGCATCCAGAAGAAACAAAGCAGACAAGATGATAATTTGCTCCAAGGCTGTGTTAGTTTTACATCAGATTTAACTGGATTCACACCTTTTAAAACCTTCAGAGTTTTGGTTGTCATCCAAACACAGCAACATTTTAGATATATTCAATTCAATTTTTGAAAGAAATTAGTGTATTTTCTCTTATGTTAAGCGGCCTGGAAAATCAGCCAATCGATTTATATTTGAAATAAAATATCTTTTTTTGCATAATATCTGATGATCTTAAGGGCAAACGTTTTTATTCCACTGGCAGATCATTGTATCCACCTGTCTAAATTAGGCACAAATATGTTATTTTGATCAATTTTAACTCATTGTTAGATCGGTTTTTGCAGTGTAGTATATTTTTCCAAACGTTTTGAGGATCATTGAGGTCATTATCATGCTATAGTTGTTGATCTGGAGTTTAAAAGCGACACGTTTACCCTTTTTTAGTTAATGTTCACAACTTTCCTTCATATATCTGTTCCTAAATTTATTTGAGACTATGTGCTGTTTTTTTAACATTTTTTTAAACTTACTTCATGCTATCAGTAAGGTTCTAAACGAAAGGATTTCTAGTTATGAGATGTAGGTTTTTAGAAACAACTCTGCTTCCTTTAATTATAAAAATAGAAAAGAAATGATGATATATCTTTTTTGTTTTTTGTTGTTGCCTGGATTAATTAAATAATGATAAAAAATAATCAAATGAAAACTAAAACTATTTAAATTCTCTTACCTTTGTCTGGTGACTGACTTCAAGTGTGACATGCTAAGGTAAAACTGCATATATTACTTCAGAGCGCTGTATAAGAAAAACAAGAAGATGATTATCAGATAAAACCTGCGATATGCTAAACGATAAAGGTCAATAAGGGACCTTTATTTCTGTAGTAATTTTTTTATTTATTGGATGTTTAAATGTGAATTTCTTCTATTAATAAATGTATTGTTGCTGAATTGCTAGGCTTTGAATAACAGTCAAACTGATGTAGCAAAGTGTCTTCATAGCTGAGCCTGATGAAGGCTGTCTGTGAACCTGAATACTAAAAATGTCCTTTTTTTCCTTCCCTCTCTGGAGAGTATTGTCCAAATATTCTGCCAGTAAACGCACAAAGAACTACGGCCTTCAGCTGAATTTAAGACGGAGGACTACATTTTATTGGCACAAAAGATGCTTTCAGCTCCAGCTCAATAATGCCCAGTATTCACTGACATTTAAAATACAAAAATTCCCATTGAAGCTTTAGTCATGCTGATTTCCCTCTTGCTATGTCTCCTTTTTATTCTAAGTAAAATGCCAAATATAAGGGGATTATTTTTTTCATGATTCCAAATTGGATTCCTGCATATAAAGATGCATTGTCCTGAATTTTTGTTTGGGTCTTAAATGGAGCGGGTAAAAAACATTTTCCTCCTACAGTTTGGAAGCTGCAGCCTTAAAGGTTCCCCAGGAATTTAGGAGCCTGCCTGTATAATCAAAGCTTCTCAGAGCTCTGTCCCACCATGAGGGAAGAAACAGGATTAGATCAAGTTTATCTCCATGTTCCTCTTTAGTTAATGATGTTATGGAATTCCTCTTAATTGAAGCTAATTCAGGCATTAGAAAACTGCTGCGACTCATAATGCCTCTACAGCTGGAAGGCTTACACTTTCTTTTAAATTTGTTTTATTCTTAGAAGTAGAAAATAAAAGCTCACTGTGGGGGTGGGGGTGCATAGAAAATCCATCAGCCTGCTTTTTAACACCCCCACCAATGTGACACCCGTGCTTTAACACAACTAAAGACTTTCTTCTTTAAAACTGGGTCACAAAATCTACAATTTCCTGTTCTAAAAGCTTAAGCCATTTCGTTGACATTAACTACTGAAATGGGACTAAACTGAGCATTTGTTTCAGGCTTGTTTTCAGCCAGATGTTAATGCGCTTTATGCTCACGTGATCGCTGCAGCAGAACAGCCATGCAGGCTCTGGGATGTGTATCCCTTTTGAAATTAAGTGGCCTTTGTTAAAACTATTAAAGAGCACAATAGATTTGAATGGATTAATTCATGGAAGTATCTTGTTTCCCCTTCAAATATATTTTTCCCAGACATGTCTTGTTATGTAATATTTTAGTTGTATCCAGTGAGCTGAATAATCCTTTCATTGACCTGGCATGGGCTCCCCTCCCTCCCAGTGGAAATGGGTTGGCTATTGAATTCCAGCTATTCGGTCAGAGTTGGAGCTGCTTGTTATTTAATCAGCATGCAACATGTGTTTTCTTTCTCGTTGTGTGTTTATGACTCGACTCAAGTCTGGGCCTCATAGATTGAGCATTCGTGTACCTCAAAGCAGACTGTGGTTTCCTGTTTTTTGGGTCTTACCTCACTGGTTGCTGCAGCACTGACGACAGTCCCTCTTTCATTTCTCATGAGTATTTACATTGTAGAAGTCTGCATCTGTTCACAGTTCTTATGCAGACTGTGGTATGTCTCTCTGATGTTTAAATCTGGGCTGTGATTTCAGAACCAGGAGCAGCTAAGGGACCCCGACAACGACTTTGTCCACAACGACGCAGATCTGACCTTCACGTTTGGGGACACGGCCATCACAGCCAACGGGGCGTCCGCCAGCAGGACGGATGCCGCCGGGCCGGGCTGGAGTGCCAATGGAAAAAGGAGCGGCAGCACGTCAGAGGAGGCCCTGGAGCGAGAGCTGGACTCCCGCGAGCAGGAGCTGCTGAGCCGAGGCACGCGCCTGGTTTTCCCCATGGAGGAGCATGTCTGACCCTCCTCGCCTGCCTTCCCTCCCACTCACCCTGCCTGAACTTCCACCCTCTCTAGTCGAAAGAGAATCCTGCCATCAGCTGTCTCCACTCCGGTGCAGGCAGATTGCTCATCCCTTCAGAGATAAGATGGATCAAAGATATGGGAGCTGACAGGAAGGAAGGGTTCATCATGACCTGTAGCTTCCTCAAAGCCGGGGAGCAGAGCTCCAGGAGCATTTCATCCTCATTAGATAAGGAGTTTATTCCAAAGAAGACACAATACTCCTGTGGGGGTAGAAGGGGGGGAATCTTTAGGCTTCTTCAGACTCAGTTTTTTTGCAAAAAAGGACAAAAAGTTTTCACGCCGGGAAAGGAAATGATGTAAAACCATGCAAAGCAATCTGTATGTTCAAACAGATAACAGTTAGTGGTTGAGCAGAGGGGGAAGACATGTCTGATCACGTTAGGAGACATATCACCCATTAGCATTGCCAAACCACCAAAAGTGACTTTGACAAAAATTTCTGGAGGTAAATGTCTACCTGAACACGTTCCAACTCTGCATAGTTTAAGAATACAAGCATGTAAATAACAGCAGTGGTGGAGTTTGTTTCCTTTTGGTTGAACTGTTCATAAAGCCCAATAACACATGGTTATAGACAGTAGGTGAATATCTTCTATTCCCATCCACCTGGATCATGTTCAGTGTTCAACTGTATCTCATGACACAAGAAGGAACATCTGACATCTTAAAATTGCATTAGCGAATTAAAAAGGGCATGAGGATTTGCACTTTAGCTTAAATGCCAGCTTAGATGGTGAAGTAAAGAGCTGGCCAGTGTAGCATTTCATTCCAGCATTGTCTGTTGATCATTTGAATTTTCAAAGCACCTATTAATCCTAAAATATGCAGGACAAAGTATGCAATCTTTATATAGTGGATATATTGATGTTCTAAGATAAAATTAAGTCATTAACTGTAGTAGATTAGCTTGTTGTTTTTTGTTGTTGAAATTTTTTAGTTTTTTTTTTTAACATTAAGACCAAAAATCTGTTGTTAAATTACAAAAATTCTCAAAATCAAACATTTTTTTTTTAAAGAATATTTTAGCCTAAAATCCAGGAGCAGGGAAGACCTAGCATGGTTAGCTTATATTGGATCTGTAAAACTCAATAATTAACTTGTGATTAGTTTGTTTCAGATGTACGGAAAATCAGAAAAGTTGTGAAGATTTGACGAAACATAAAATTGTTTTGGAGGAAAAAAAAAGGAAAGTTTAGTGCTGGTTTAACTTGGTTTACATCCTCTCTTAAAATGAATCTATATCATAAACAGCTTAAACTAAAACAGAACACTTATTTATAAAGACTTTAAATTATACAACTTTTAGTTTGGGCATATTCCTGATTTTTATTTTCTTAAATAAAAAATACTTACAGGGGATTTTTTTCCCACGCTGTACACACATTTAATAAAAGGAAAAAATGGAGGGAGATAATGGAAGCATAAACCCTCTTGTGTATATATATATATTGTTTACAAATCCTAACATTTTAAATTGCTAAGTTACAGACAGTGAATTTAGAATTAATATTTTTATGATATTGGAGACTTTCCAGAGAGATGTTGCTTTAAATGGAACCAAATATTCTTTCATGGCCAGTGTTTTACAATGAAATAAGCTTATTTCTGAAATGAATGAAAGTAGAAATCAAAATTAGATTACATTTAAATTAAGCACAATGGCTCTCTCTCATCAGCCAGGATTTAAATCATTGGTCTAATTTAATCTTAATTTGCAGTGAATAGATTTTATTGCTCAGTTCAGTTTCCCGCTGTTATTATTTTATCTCATTTATACTCTTCTAAACAATATTACTACTATATCTGTTGTGCTTTAGTGATCAAAGGCTTCCTCTTATGCATATTTACTACCAGCAAGAGAAAAAGAAAAAATGTTGCATATTTTTCGTCTGAAGATTTGATTGAGTTTCAAACTCAAAATTGCCCTGGGAAAAAAGAAAATGTGACCAATAGTTTGTGTTTATGCACTCTTGGCACTTTACACCCAGCATTGGAGCTGGAGGAAGATTTCGAGTTTCTACTCCTACCTTCACCCGTGATAACTGAGCCGCTTCCTGTTTTATATTCACAACGCAGCCCGGTGGAGCCCTTAAAATCCACCTAACAACACAAAATAGCTGCTGCTTTTATGCATGAATGCATGGAGACAGGCGTGAAAGGCATGACTGTTAGAAGTTGAATCTGAGGCTTTTTACAGGAGGAGGAATCTCCAGCAAGTTTTATGGCTCCCCAGAGACATCCAGGAGGAAATGAATCTAGTAGGGTAAGCTGTTGCCAGGCTGTATACAGAGCAGGCCATTTAAACACAGCTGGAAGGAGAGGTGTTATGAAGCAGAATATTTCAGTTCAGTCTGTTTATTCTTTTTTTTTTTTTTGTGACTGTAAAAGCCTGTATGTGAAATTTGTAATAATCACCTGTTAATCATTATAAAACACTTCTAATGCATACACTGTCTCTGGAAAAAAATGTGGGGGAAAATAATTTACTTCAAAAAAAATAAATCTAAATCCAGAAAAAGAAATCAGATGACACAGATTTGGCTTCCTTGTTGAAAATTTCTTTTTTGTTGTTGTTGAAGAGTCTGCTTTATTAACAGAACAGGAAGTTACATCAAATGACAGATGTAGTGCTTTCTCCCACAGACATGGAGGACTCGATAGACAGACGTCACACAGACGACTAAAACCATGAAGACAAGCAGAGGACACTCGTTAAACACTCTACCTTTCCATACCCCCTCATTTGTTATCATTTGTCCAGTGGGTTAGATTTAAATTCTATCTACACCTGAGAAATACGAGATGTAGACAAATTGTCAATATGTGCACCTGTTGTATCCGGTAGCAGCTGGTACCCTTGCTGCGTGTGCCATGGTCTGCATGTCATCATATTAATAAAAATCCAGAATATCTGGGGCACCGAGCAGTTTGCTCCACCTACCTCTGAAATGTATAATAAGATGCACCACAGTGACACAATGTTGCTCATCTTCGGCTCAGAAAATGACCATATAAATTACATGTTGCATGATATTTTTGGTAGCTGTAGTGGTAAGTTATAACTTTGAAAACAATCTGTTAAACCTGCACCTGATGGGTACTATAGGAAATAGTGTATGTTGCAGTGCATACAGTGCTTTCCATAAGTTTTCATGTCACATGTAGAGATTTTTCAAACCTGCAGAAAAGATCAAGAGTACCATACTGCAGTGTGCCGCCATTTTTTCAATCAATGCATTAAGAACACACTGGAAGTAATTTTAATGAAGTCTTATTAGATCACCGCACCTTAGGTTTAGGTTTCTCATCCACCAATGTTCAGATTAGGATTACACCTCGTGTGATGGGGGGTAAAGAGGAAGTAATTATAAAATCTAAGCCAAACCAAGGCTTTGTTTGGGCTACTCTATAAGCTTTAAATGCTAATTCTGACATTTTGAATTGGAAAAAGCTTCCTGGAAACTTGGAAAACAAATCCTTAGATTTAAGTTTCCTCTAAAAACTTCCGGTGGAAAATTTATTTTAATTAGAAGTTTTTTGGCAAACATAGCAAATGGAGTAAAGAAAACAATAATCTTGCAAAACTAAGATACTTATGCACTTAAAATAAGATACTTTTTTTCTGATTTTATATGTTATTCATCTTATTCCATTGGTCAGTTTTTGTTTACCTGCTCCAATCAAGGGTAAATACATTTATTTTGAGAAAAACTGACTTACTTAGATGTTTCATTTGCTAGTATACAAATACCAGTTGGGGATTATTTGTGTCTAAAGCTTTTAATTGGACAGAAGATAAAAACTTTAAGTTGACTTATGTTTTCCAATAAAAAATTACAAAAAAAAACATTTAAAGATTCAGGCAAATTAACCAACGTGCTGTTAACCGACTGCTTTGCACTTCTGGTGCCTCTTGAAAAGATTAAAGCTGTGGTGGAACCATCATGGTTTGGGAAATGCCTTTTTTTTTGCCCTTCAACAGACTGAGGCTGGTCAGTTTATGTGAATGTAGATTTTTTTTTGGTACAAAAAAAAAAAAAAAAAATTCCCCCTTCTTGATCTACACAAAAATTTGTGTTGGTCTCTGATGTTAAAATGAGAAAACACCACATGTGGTAACTTCTGCAAGGCACTGTACATAATGATTAGCTGTGATTGGCTACGATTGAGCATGTCACATGTTTTCTGGTTGCCCTTGAAGATTCGCTCCAGTTGTATTTTTAACTGAGCGAAGCATTCAGGACAAAGTCAGCTCATGTTCCAAACTTACTGCCCTGCTCTGCTGGTCAATAATCAACTGGGTTGATCATAGAGATCATGACTGACAGATTTATTACAATCAGTAACACAATTTCTTTGAATTTTAAATATTTAAAGAGTTTTTCTTTCACATTTTTTACACATATTCATGTTAAATAATAATGAAAACAGAACCAACTTTTGAAGTTGAACACATCGATGCTGCCAAACCCCTCAAGCACATCCATGGGGACATCACAGCATGTGAGACTGTTTTGGACCATTGGGGATTAAAAAAGGAAGATGTCCGCCGGTGGAGGACGGATGATGATCTCCAGGATAGTTTGTGGTGTATTAGAACATTTCACACCCATGTGAGAGATTTGTCAGTGGGGCTCTGCAGCTGTCTGGATTCCTGAGAGGCCGGGGGCGGAACAGTAACTCCTTACGTTTGGCTTTCCTTTCTTTCATTCCAAAAAAAAAAAACTGTAGTTTCTTCTTTCAGAGCTCTGCATTAGATCTGTTAGTGAGCCTGTCTCTGTTTTAATATCAGTAAATCAGTAATTCAAGGGTCTGGTGCTGTGCTCTGTGACGTGCCGGATGGATCAGTGGCACAAGCAAAGGCGAACCTGATGCTGCCAGCCTGGATTAATGTCCCGAGAAATGCCCGTCTCAGGTTTTTTTATGGCCGTCGCTAAAACAGGATCTGAGGGGGAGATTAGTGTTTCTAAAAGGATAGAGGTCAGCCTGAGTAACAGCAGCGCAAACCAGCCCCGTCTGTTTTATCCCCCTCCCCATGTGCTCCCCCGTCTCCACGGACCCTGCTGGTGTCAAACAGGCAGCGCGGTGAGAAAATAAGCTTCCTTCTCCCCGTTTCAAATCAAACTACATCCGATTGGCTGCTCTTTCTCCCCCCTTCTTTTTCCTCCTCCTCCCCCTTCCAGTATCAGTATGTCTCCAGTTCATCGACCCAGCTCGGGTGAGGATAAAAACAACCCCAGAGGCACGCTTGAGAGCTCCTGGTGGGCTGCATTCCTGCAGGCTGTTTTGTTATTCCACCTTCTGCCCCTCAACCTTGATTAGAACCCTGCAGGGGAAAAGAAATGGAAAAGTTTAACATTCAGCTGCACAGTTTATCAGATGTAGTAAAACTCCACCAAAGCCCACTATCAGAGCCCTGTCAGTACTGCAGGGTCACGACGGTGGACCCCTCCCTCCATGTAGACGTGTTGGAGGCCTCACAGCGGTGAAGGACCTTGCCTGTAAGAGCTGCTGGTGACAGCGTGGTCGTAACCCTGCGGGGAGCTCTACCCCATCGCGGACAGACACGAACAATGACCCCCTTCTTGACAGCGCAGTGACTCACTGCCAGCGCCCCCTCAGCTACCCAGGAGGGGACCCAGCTATGCCAGGGACAGAACAACGAGCCCTCTATGAAGCTGTTGGACGTTAAAGAGAGCTGAAATATTTCTGATTTTCTCCCTTGGATCTCTGCAGTTTTTCATTCGAACAAGCGTTACAAAGCAATGCTATAGAAGGATTTATCTTTATATGATGTTTTACAAACAGGATTAACTTGAAAGCTCAAATAGACTACAACGGCAGGAAAATAATCCTGCCACATGAATTTTAGCTTTATTTTTTAGCACTACAAACACCTTCATTTATTTGGTCAGATTAGACACAGAGAGTAGCACGGTAGGAGACAATTCATGAATTTCTATCAGTAAAATTTAAAGGTGTCATGGAGTTTACATTGTCATAGATGAATAACGATAGTTCAGTGGGTGAAACAGAGAAGTTCAAACCCCATCGACACCTTTCTCTGCAAATCTCACATTTCTTAACTTCCACCATAAAACGGGCGATTTCAAACGAAGCACCGAATTGACCTAAACTTGGGGATCTTGCCTTATTTGGTTCTGGCCTGTGCTTTTGTCCCGCCCCGAAATTGACATACAGACCAGCCTACTGGTTCACGGCCCAAGAACATGAATAGAGGTAGATGAAAGACACCAGTTTAGCTGTTTAGCCTACAGTTGGGTTTACTTCTACAAGAATTACAAAGCAGGCAGTTTCTCTATAAAAAAATGAGCCAGAACCACGGGTGGAAATGCAGTTTTCCAGGCTGCAGGGTGAAAGGGGAAAATTTTCAGTCTTCCCAAGGATCCGAAGACTCAACACACTGGAAAAACAATCTAGAAACAAAGTAAAAAGTTCTTAAATTAAGTGTATTTACCCTTAATTTGAGAAGGTAAATGAGATAGCTTGCCAATGGAATGAGTATTTTTACTCTTAAAATAACATAATTAGACAATATTTATTTGAAATAAGATGCAATTTTGTTTTCTTATGTTAAGTGTAAATTGTCTTGTTCCATTGGCAAAATGTATCTTTTACCTCCACAGTCCAAGAAAAAATGACTTATACAGATTAGGATTCTTTCCAGTGCAGGCATGGATTATTTTTGTCCCTGCAAAGTTTGATGCTCTGCTGTTCATTTGCTCTAAGCATTTTACCAAAGACAACTTTCAAAATCTTGGACAGTTCAAAGAGGATTAAACTTCTTTTACTGAGACGAGGGGCTGTTCCGACTGTCAGGCCATCACAACCGCAAGCTGGAAGTATGATTCTGTTGCCAAGCTGTTGACAGCAGTGCTGGCATATGTCAACAATTTGATGTTTCAGTGAGTGAATGCTTGTTGCTATGGTGCATCTTTGCTCAGCAGCTTTACTTGTTGTAAACCAACCAACCAATCAGCGCACAGCTCATCTAAATATTCATGAGCATAACATAAAAGGAAGAAAACCTGTTGTTTCATTCTGGGGCTTATAACCAGGCTTGCATTAGGGCTCATAGAACAGCAAATATGCCATTTTCAGCCCAACCAATGTTACACACCCTATTCAGAGACCTGAAGGACCAGCACCAAATACCCTATAGAATCATTCTATGACCCATTTAAAGAAAAAAAAAACCCATCTACCCTCCATTATGGTTCAGGGTGTTGCTCAGTGTTAGTTTTCTAGCACAGTGTTTTGCATGGACTGTAATTCATCATCATTATCACTTTAAAGTTTTCCTTTGCCAAATTTCTAGTGTTTTTCTAATGCTAAATCTTTGCTCTGCTTGCCCTGCCATGATGCCACAAAACAGGCTCTCAGAAGCAAACTCAGCATTAGTCTAGTTACCTTTTAGCCTGCAAGTGGTAGCCACAAGCAGAATGACCGAATTTACCGAGATTATTATATAGACTTTGCATTATATACAATTAGACTTTATGATTTCAGGAAAAAAATGTTTTTTTTTATTTCTAAACCAGTTTAGAAAAAAAAAAAAGTTGATCTTTCTTCCTGCATTGTTTTGTGTTGGTGTGTTGTATAAAATCTCATAAATATGAAATATGCTGAAGTGTTCATTTTACACTGTAAAAAAATGTGTAATGGTTGAATTCTAATTTTAAAAGCCCTTTAAAATGGGCTAAAAAGGCAAGACTGATCTAAAAAGGAAAACTGTAATTTATTATTATAGATTGGGGTTGTTATCCTGGATCTGAGTTTGGTGAAATCAGCTCAACAGGTGGCTCCACATCTACAGGGGCGGAGCTAGATGGGGGGGGCCATGGCCACCCCTTTTTTTACCCTCTAATACAGACGGTGGCAGCAGTAATACTCTCATTCAAAACATTTACATTTCTTATATATCAACAATTACTTGACAAATATGCACATACTTATACTAACATTAAAGTTGATAAATACAGAATTCATGCTCTTTTCAGAATTACATTTTGTGTTTTATGGCGTAAAGAGAAAATGATGTCTCTGCAAGTCATCTAGGAGTCTTTTGTGAAACCATAGATAAATATTTGAATAAAAACTTATTAAATAATGAATTTATGTAGATATTAATAATTGTAAATATACATATACATAGAATAATTATTGATAAACGTAGGTAAGCATGTATGGAGACCTTAGTCCTCAACGCGGGCGACCTGGGTTCGAATCCGGCCTGTGGTTCTTCACCGCATGTCTCCGCCCCCTCTCTAACCACCTTTCCTGTCAGCCTACAGTCCATAAAAACAAGCCACTAGTGCCGTAAAAAAAAAAAAAAAAAAAAAGTAGGTAAGTAATGACAATGGAAAAGATTTTCGCTATACCTTTTATCTAGACGAATGTTTAAATATATGCGTCTATTTGTTAGGAAAGGCTGTAGGAAAGTATAGTTAAGGCCAATTTATGCTTCTGACGCATAGCCTCTGCAACCGTCAAATCTGTCTCTGTGCGACCACGCCCCCCACGCAGAGGTTCTGCAACCGTCATGGCGCACCTTAAAAAAATCCCGACTACGCGTCAAACTGTCGCAAACCCGCACAGACCTTAAGCGGAAGTGCGCAGACAAAAAGCAGCTGTTATTTGTCCTTGATATGCCTTTTTTCGTCTGTCTGTGTGGTCGTCCTTCTCAATTCGGTGCTGGGGTGCGCCATTTTTAAAAACAAAAGAACAACTACAATAGACAACCTATGACAAAAGGTTAATCGGTCTTTTTGCCACCTCCATTAACGGAATCTGTTCCTCTTTGATGTCTAGCAACTCTAGATCTATCTCAGTGACTGTGATATCTTGCAGATGCTCCATTGTTGTTTTGGAAGACTTCGGTGCCGAAGTTCTCGCGACAATCCGCCAAAGTTCTTGCGACAATCCGTAGAAGGTCTCGTGACCCTCTGCCGAAGTTCTCGCGAGTTCTCGAATAGGCTCTCCCCCGTTGCGCTTTGGCGGGAAAATGCTGTGCGTCCCTAGAAATTCCAGACCGACGTTGCAGAAGCATACCAGCAAAATGGTTCGCTACCAGATCCAAGCGACATTTGATGAGTGCGGTTGCAGAATTATAGTCTGACCTTTAGTCTTTATTTAACAAATATGGAAGTTGTGCTTGTAAATTTTCCTGTAGGAAGAGTGTAGACTGACCCTGAGATTCTGGCATCTATCCACTATCGGCCACCCCTCAATGTGCATTGCTTATTGCTTGGCCATCCCTTATTAAACTTTTCTGGCTATGCCTCTGCATGTCTAATAATAAAATCTAGGTTTGAGACTACTTTAATAAAAAAGGTTAGAGGCTTTAGAGTTAAAACAAGCGCTTCTGCAGCATCTAAAAAAAAACAGGGATGTGAAAGTGTTTTTGTTTTTTTCCGGGGCTCTACTTTGGTTCAAGTGGGAATCATGGGTTATGACACAGCAGTGCACACTTACCTGCTTCCTGTGCTACTGAGGATCTAGATTTAACTCAGAGCGACCCTGCGGTTTTCTGTGCAAGCTCAAACTCCATCCTTGCATTTTGCATGAACTCACCCCAGTGATTTCTGTTCCTCATGTGGCTTTCTCCACTCTGTTTTTCTCGTAGCCCAGCTGCCTCATGACTTCGCTGCAGTAGGCCTCCACCTGACTGATCTGATCCAAACTGAGCCGCTCCCTCCACGCGTAAATCGCCTCCTTGGCGTCCCTGGATGAGATGAGGAAAGGTTTATCCGAGGAGTAGCCCTGTCCGTGCGTCATGTTCAGCGCGAACCTCTCCAGCGCGGGGAAGCTGGAGAGGTTGGAGAAGCGGAAGAGCCTCTGCAGCTCCTCCATGGGCTGCTGGACCAGATCTTCGTAACGAAGGCGCAGGTAGTTCCTCCTCACCCAGGGGGGAGCGTTTATCACCAGCATCATGTCGCTGAGCCAGTTGTCGCAGATGAGCTCCATGGCGCTGGCAACGTAGCTCTCCGCCCGGTTCATCCTGTTGCTGGGCACCAGCAGCCGCTTGTATTTGTCGTTCTGCTTCTTGCTGCGCAGCACCTGGATGCTCTCCTTCACCAGGGCCTGTTTGGACTTCAGTCGCGAGTTGTGCACAGCCCGCGGGTCCCTGAAGAGCTGGATGATCTGCAGGTTGATCGCCGGGTCCCTCATGAGAGGAACCAGGGTGCTCATGTCCAAAACGCGGACCCCTTTGATCACCATCACCGGATACTTCCTGCATTCCCTCTCCAGGTCCCTCAGGTCTCTTTTCTGGCACTTGGCGCACCGGTCCTCTCTCACCAGCCCGATCTCGTGGCGCCTGTGCGCATCGCACAGCGGCTCGGAGCAGATCACCTTGTTCATTTTCCAGCCGAATATGAAGGATGTAGTGATGTTCTGCGAGCCGGCGTACAGTTTGAGGACGGAGAAGTCACAGCGGTACAGGGAGCTCATCATGTCCCGCACCGCGCCCTGCAGGCTGCCCGCATCCCCGGGGTACAGAGCCTGCCAGATGTGCCACATGGGCTCGTACAGGTAGAAAACGTCCGGGTGCTGGTTGAACAGCTCCCCCAGAAACGACGAGCCGGTCCTCCAGGTGGCATGCAGGTAGATGTGGGTCCGAGACAGGCTCCTGTTCGCCGCCGGGCTCTCCGCCGCTTCGCTGCCGTTGGCTTTGTAGCCGTTATCCCAGAGGAGCGCCACCGTGTTTTCCAGGTCTGGGCATCTGGGCTGCTGCTGCGGCAGTTTGGCATTCTGTGCCGATTTATCCCGGTAATCTAAAACGTACGGGATTAGCAAAAGTAGACCTGAATAAGCCAGAATTAATACCAAGTACTTCTTATGCAGCCTCCTCTTCATTTCCTTTCGCCGGGAGAGGGCTGGGAGCTGGTTTTCACGACAATCGGCGGAGAAGCGATCTGCGGAGCGCACTGCTCGCTGCTGGAAACTTATTGCTGTGTGCTTTTGGCCTGGGTACGCCTCATTTGTCAACCGGAGAGGCAAGGGGATGGACCGGGTGGGCGTGGCTTTAAACCTTCTACTTCTTCTTGTAAGGTTTTATGGCGGTTGGCAAACTAGTTTAAGGTACATTACCGCCACCAACTGATAATGAGTTAAACAAGGAAACTTAAACATGACTCACCCCCAGAAAAATTAAAATATACATATTATTATATATAAAAATAAGGAATTGGGTTGTTCTGAGCACCCGAAATGCAGATGGTGGGAGGCAGAGGTGAGTTGCTTGATGATTTAAAGAACCGTTTACAGACAACTGAGGCAGGAATCCCAAAAAAATCCCAAAATCAAACGTGAAAAAAAAGTCAAATAAACCAGAAACCGTGGAGACATCAGGGGAAAAACAACTGCGACGAGGAAGACTCAGAGAGATTAAGTTAGAGGAAGTTAGACAAGGAACCAGCACCAAGGAACTGCATAAGGAGTGTATTTATGGGAGACTGAACAAAGAGAGGACTAACGAGCAGATTGGGAGCAGGTGCGAACAGAGCAGACAGGAAAAGAGCTAGGGAAAAAGGAGAACACAAGAGGGCAGCAGAGGGCAACAAATATGGGCTACGTTCACACTGCAGCCTGAAGTGACCCAAATCCGATTTTTTTGCCCATATGCGACCTGAATCAACACAGATCCAATTATTTCCAATCTGACCCAGGCCCAGTGGCGGATCTAGGGGATGGCTACTTGGGCTGCAGCCCCGGATGTTTCCCCAAGAGCCCCGGATCTCGCTTCTGAGCTGATCATAGTAAAAAATGCAGTACTGGAATTCACCAGAGAGTGGCAGCATGTGCAGGAAAGCAACCTGTAGCATTCCTGTGCAGAAGAAGTCCCCACTAGCTGTTGCTAAACAGACTGATATCACAGGTAGAGTCCTGCACGGGTCGAGTTTTACCAACCCGCACCCGCCCGAACCCGTTAGGATGACTACCAAACCCGACCCGTCACCCGTAGATGTCTTCAATTCAAATCCAAACCCAACCCGACCCGTTGATATTTAACCCGCAACCCGACCGGTTAACACATGAAGTAATAGGCTATAGTATGCTGCGCTGCAGAACAGCGCCATTAACACTGCAACAGACGTGTATGCACTGACTGTGGCCTTTTTGCAGGGAAGCCCACACTGCTGGCAGGGCTTTAAGCTACAACAAGGGTGACCCCAGTGCCTGATTAATATAACATTTCTGATGTCCATAACAACACACACGCATAAAAAAAATAATCACCAACTATCCGCCCGCATAAAAAAAATATCCGCCCGACCCATTTATTTTTATTTATGTATTTTTCATCCACAAAAGAGCATTTTAGAGGGTGACCCGTCGGGGACCCGCGGGTACCCGACCTGTTGCAGGACTCTAGTCCCAGGTATGTGAAGCTCTGACTGACTTCCAGACGTTCTTTGTCCTGGAGTTGTATAAAATTCTGTTCCCCTTGTGTCGGGAGCCCGCAATGAAGCCAGAGAGGCGAACATGGCGGATGGGACCATTTTCATTCATGTCAATGTTGTAACATCCAGTTTAATCAGCAGCTGTTGTCTATAAAATTGTAAAGTAAATAAATAGACGAGGTCCTTTTAAGCTGTTTTGTGTTATTTTTTAAACGCCAAGAGAATCTGTCTTTTTCCAACTTCTGTCAGTTAAGCCTGACAGAAATAAAAGTCAGAAGTATTTATCATTTTTCACTGCTGATATGAGAGGACGGAAACTGGCTGATAGCCGGACACAAAAATTAAGATTTCCAGAAAAGATGAGAGAGTAGACTTTCTGGTAAATCCCGTTCTAATGTAAAATATGACAGATTACTGGATTAAAGAAATTTCTAGTATACTACATGCTATCAAACATAACATTTTTTGAGAATTTGGAAACAGTTGCTGTTTATTTCCTAAACATATGGGAGGAGGAGAGGAGAGAATGGATATTTCAGCTGCCTGGAATATTCCGTTCCTCCTCCATAACATGGGAAGGAATTAATTCACCTACAAATCTTTAACTGTGTTTATTCCTCTCATCATCAAAAACAAATCCTGTGGATTTGGTGACATTAAATCATTATTTGCCAAAGTTATGAGAGGGAAATTGTATATTTTAGCCACCTGATATAATCCGTTTCCCCTTTGATGATCTTTATGAAATTTCTTTTCTGTATAAATGTTTATCTAACAATTTACAAATATATTTCAAAAGAAAAGTTCAAACCAAAACAGCTGGACTTTGTTTTCCAAGTTTGAAGATGTTTTGTTTTCCATCCAGAGAGCTTTCTCAATTCAAAATGTCTGAAGTAATGCTATTCCAGACATTTTGAATTGAGAATTGACATATTTTTATTAACTATTTAAGATTTCAAAATATAAAATAATAAATGTTTCAAACATAATATAGAAAAATAATGACAGTTTCAAAATTCACAGGATTTGTTTAATTTTTCCCATGTTATGGGGGAGCAGATTATATCAGGTGGCTAAAATGTATGATTTGCCCTTCATAACTTTGGCAAATAATGATCAAATGTCTCCACAGAGCTTGTTGTTGAAGAAAGAAATAAACACAGTTAAAGACTTGCAGGTAAATGAATTTCTTCCCATGTTATGGAGCTGGAATTGTTATGTGTGATAGCATGTAGTATACTAGAAATTTCTTTAATCCAGTAATCTGTCATATTTTACATTAGAACGGGATTTAGCAGAAAGTCTACACGCTCATCTTCACCCTCGGGGCTAAGCCCCTGATCTCCTAGAATCCTAGATCCTCCCCTGCCCAGGCCACTTGGCTATATGGTCCTGAATCCCATACAAATCTGATCCTTCAAATGCGACCTGTGTCTGAACGGCCAGGTCGGATTCATCCAACCTGAACGTCATTAATATCTGAAAAAGGTCACTATTCTGCGTCTTGCTAGAAACGGCAAGAAAAACAACAACCATGGCAGATTATGATGCGGAGAGCAGTTTTTATGTTTAAACATATAGAAAAGATTGTGTTTTTATGGTTGGAAAAGACCGCTAGACGCCGGCACTACCCTCCATGTTCACCTTCGTAAACGTAGAGCATGCTGGCCTGTGACATCATTGCGTCCACTACTGCGCATGCGTGACACTTATGTCATATGAACGCAGTTCACACAGGAGATCACATACAGGTCGCATATATTTGGAAATGTGAACAGCAACGCAAAAAAAATCGGATTTCACAAAAAAATCGGAATGAGCATCAAGGCCAGAGAACACAACAAAATAAGAATTAAACCACTAAAACTAGAAAACATGGAGCAAAGAAAACTGAATACTCAAAAGAAAACATAACAGAACCAAGACTGTGACAATATATATCTGTAACAACCGAGGTAAAGATGAAAGAGACTCGGTCATAAAAAAAATTGATGTTTTTTATTAAACAAAAAAATCCTTTTCCTCCCTTCTACAACACTTAAGGTAGACAATATAATATTTACATTGACTTGACATTGGTGGATGGCGGACAAACCCGCATAACCAGAGCAAGAAAGTCAAACACTTCTATAAGGCTTCACAGCAATCAGGTGAAAAACAACCACTGCACACGATCAGATCAGATCAGATCAGATGTAATATTGTCTACCAGCTCACAATATGCTTAGGAGAGTGATTAAGGAACAAAAACAAAAACTAACTAATAAATGGAAAAAAGATGAGAAGAAAAAAACAAGCAGTTAGTCCACCCTCACAAGTGAACAATGGGACCAAAGACACCAAACAGGGTCGGACTAACTAAAAAAAAACAAAAACATAAGGACAGCAGGAGCAACAAAGAAACAAATGATTAAAATGTGTATTTGTCCTAATAAAAATTAAATATAACCCCCAATCTTTAAAAACACTGACCCACATTCTTGACAAATGTATAACATGTGTGGAACCAGAAGGCTTCCTGGTGTCCCACGGAAACTGACACCTTCCAAGAAATGCTCACAGCTTCCGCTTTTATATATAAAAGCCTACTAAAAATACTGCCTGGACAACGCCCACCATCCCAATCAAATTCATCCTCATCATTTCTAATTTATCTTTAAGTTATCGTCACTCTGCCAGTTTCAGATGGTCCTACTCTTTTTTCCCATCATACTTTCAACCATTTCCCAGTTTAAATCTCTAACTTCAACATAGTTTTCTGCATTTTTCACCATTATTTTGATTTTTTTCAGTTTTCTTTGTTGTCTGAGCACTACAATTGATCACTTCTACCATGAAAAAAACTAAATCAGCCGTTTTGGGACGCTGCTCCAGAGGTTTTGAACTTGTCATTTCGGCCCCTGTTGGTTTGGCTCTTTCTGACAGGGGTGGGATTTTTTTTTTGCAGTTTAAACATGAGTTATTCTGAGTTCTAATTTTTACTTTTCTTATCTCTTCAGATCTTTTGCTCACTTCACAACCGCGATATGCAGCAGTATGTTCTCCACCACAGTTACTTCCTTCCCACACTTTCCATATTCCTGCTCTTCAGCACACTTTTCACATCGTTGTTTTCCTGTACATACTGCTGCTATATGACCACATTTTTGGCATTTATAACATCTCAGAGGCGGAGGATTGTACATTTTTAGATTGTAGCTCATATATCAAAGGAAAACTTTGCCTAGTAACTCTTCAAATTTGATTAACACAGATGAGCTGTTGCACCTTTCTCAATTTCTTGTTTTTAACCATTTCACTTCCATTTTACTTTTGCACCACTTGCGTTTTCTAGAATCTCTTTGTTAGTTACCTTTAGAGGCACTCCTCCAATGAATCCCCTGCTAATCCTTTTGTTCTCAACCAAACTGCACTGAACTTGTTACAGTGGAGGGGGAGGTTTGACAGGACCCAAATGCAGACTGAAGCTGAAGGAGTTTTCGTAAATATATTTATTAAGCAAAAAGTTCAACAGAAGCAAAAACCCAAAACAAAAATCCACAAAAACTGAGAACCAGGAATA